CACTTGTCAAAAACACAAATGTGTACAAGGAATTCTACTATCAAGTGAAATATCTCTTGGAAAGTAGAAATGGCTTCTGCTCTGGCTGTGTTTTATGTTGAGTTGGGACTGGATAGATTTTTACAAGTTATGTCTCAAAATAAACCATGTCACCATTTTCAGAGTCCTTTCAAAGTTCCACTTTGGTTCATCTACTCGTTTCTCACTTACCTCCTTCATCACAGAGTGTCATGAAACTCCTCCTCCTGCTAGCTCCTAGCTACTCCACCTTTTCTTCTCCTGTTATGTTATCTGCAAGCGTTATTCCTTTTTCCTTTTCTTTCATTTGTGTGCTTCTACTTGTTCCCTTATTATCTTCACTGTTCTCATCCTCTTTTTTTTCTTCTTCTTCTTAGTCTTCTGACGGACTTACTCTTGATCCTCAGGTTTTCCATTGCTTCTGCTTTCTCTCCTCTGTACGTCCTCTCATAATAAAGCCCAATAAAAGTGCTTCCACAGCACTGAGGGGCTTCTCTCTGCCTTTGGATATTCTCAGAACAGTCTGCACAGGTATTGCTCCCAATACTTAAGTTGACTTGGCTCCAACCGTCCATAAAAATCGTTGTGCCTAATGCCTCATGAGTCAATATTCAGTTTACAACTCTCTTCATTATTCCTGTCCTTCAGACAAGGCAATAAATATGCCCCTTCTCCTGTCACTCTCCGGCCCTTTCGTGACTTCTTTCCCTCCACACTTCATCTTCTGAAAACAATGTTTACCTAGAAGAAAAGAATGACTGTATAGGGGAGGTGATGAGGGAAAAGGGAAATCCCTGCAATGATCTCTCCTGGACTTTTCTCTTCAGCAAATGGCTCACAAGAAGCAAAAAAGATGATAGATAGATAGATAGATAGATAGAGAGATACATAGATAGATAGATAGAAGATAGATAATTGGGGAAATGAGCTGTAATTGAAGCAAATACTTAGAATGAAGCAAAGGATTAAAGGAATAAAGCAGGAGGAAGCAAGCTTTAGGTTTTTTGCTTCCATGCAGTTTGTGCGGTATTAAAGGAATACGGAAGAGATGCTCCTTAGCCTCAAGGAATTACAAGTAGAATTACTAGTAGGAAAAATGGCATGCCCTTTGTATTGGCTATCCCCTAGACCACCCTCAGTTTCAATGATTTTCCAGAAGGATTCATAAGATTCAGAAAAAGCTTCTATATCCCAGTTACAATTCATTACGGCAAAAGGATACAGATTAAAATCAGTAAAGGAAAAAGGCAAGTAGGCAAAACCCAGGAGAAACCAGGAGAGAGCTTCCAGTTCTTGGCCAGTGGAGTCCCACCAACACGCTTATTCCTCTAGCAACAATGCGTAACAACATGTGCAAAGTGTTGCCAGTGCGGGAAATTCACCCAAGCCTCCCCAGGATCCAATTAGGGGTCAGTCACAGAGCAAGGAGTAAGTCCTCAGGTAACTGACCTTAGCTACAGCCTCCTGCCTTCCAGAGGACAGACTGACACTGTGGCACAGAGCCTCAGGTACACAAAAAACTGCATGAGCCATAAGTCATAGAGTAAACTATCTGGGTGTGAGGCCAAAGCCTCAGGCATATAGCAATCCTCTTATCAGGTAGGGCAAAGATTCAGAGGTCATCTCCCAATAGCGAGTTAAAGACTGGTGCTTTGTCTGGACCATGCAGGGTTTGAATAACCCATGTTCACTGAGTTAATCCTTTACTGTACCCCAAGTAGTATATACACTTTTTTTTTTAAATAACTTAACTTTTTATCTTCCTGAGGGCAGACAACTTAATCTAGTTATATTCTCAGTTATTTTAGGTTCTGTGTCCATTTTGGTTTTGGTCATCATTTGGGATTTTAAAACCATCAATACAATATTCACTCTCCTTTCTATCTAGGGCCAGCTTGAAGATCCAAGGATTTAATAGGGCCATGGCATATGTGAGAGAGATACTGGGTCCAGGGACATCGCTTCATGATGGACTACACAGAATGTGCCTTGCTCCCATCGGTTCTTGACTGTGGGCATATCTGAGGAAGCCACTGAGATAACAAGACAGTCTTTGGCCCCTGCACACTGCATTCTCCTTGATCTAACAATGAGGTTGAAAGTTACCCAAATCTCTCAGCTACTTCTGAAGGTATGAATTTTTTCCTTATCTTTTTTCTAAAGATATAGAAGATTGCATTAAAGGGGTTATCTCACACGTTCCTTGCGTAGACATGTATTATAATTTCTAAGAGCTCTAAAGAAAAATGGTTTCGTTACACTTTCCTGGAAGATCTAGAATTTCCACCCATTACTACCACGTGAGAGGTGGCCCTGAGAAATACTCACGAGCATCAAATGCTCTTGCTGTCCTTTGCAGACTGCCTTCTATTCCAGCGTAGACAAATATTACCCCCTCTCTCAGAGGGATGTAGAGGTGATGTTGGTACAGTTAGACAATGGCAAGCCATCCAGTTAGGGTGAAGCATAGAATGGATGTGGGAAAGCAGTAGGATCAGGCAGGGAGATCAGATAGGGATGAAAATATGGAGAGCCTTGGATGAATTCGGGAGTCATAGACATTATAGAATAAGAGAGGGAGATACATGAGAGCTATAATTAAGGACGAATCAGCTATCATAGTATGAATCTCTGTGAACTATTTTTGCAACACACTTGAGACGACAATATCTAGATAAGAAAATCGCATGATCAAAAAAAACCCTAAAACAATAAATTTGCTTTCTGGAATTTAATAAAACCAGAAGCCATCTATATTTGAACAAGGTAAAACATATGATTGTTTTAAGTATATGAGACTAGGAAGCCTAAGAATATGGAAGATAATTTTCTGTAGAACTGATTATCCATGATGATTTGAGAAACTAAACTAGTGGATTGTTATCAAATTGCATGGAATTCTCCAAAAACAAGCCTCCAGGTTATACTGCCTTATCTTTCATTCACTACCATCATCCAAGGGAATAAAAGGCGCTTGTCTTTAGTCTGCTTGAATCCCGTTTACCATCTTTGTAATGAATTATTAGCATATGAAGTCATTAATTTATAATTTGCTTTCCTAGTATATGAAGATCTTCAGGGTGCAGCTACCAAAAGATGGAGTACAGAATGAGTACGGGGGAAAGAGTGATGAACTTCACATGGGGTCATTTAGGGGGACACTAGGTAAGCCTGAACTTTGAGGGAAAAGCATTCTACAACAAAGGGAACAGAATGTGCAAAGCAGGAGGTATGAAAATTGCTAGAGCATAAAGTATGAGAGCGCAGGGAGCTTTCATCACAATCACCAGATGCTTTTAAAATTGAATATGGGGATGAGCCCAAGAACCAGCTTTTAAGTAAGCTTGCCTGGTGATTCTGATGCAAACTAAGGTTTAAGAAACTACCACTATACAAAACAAATAGTGAGCTCTTGAAAGCCATTAAGAAGGAGAACTTCACTCTTGGAGGCCTATCGTGATTGGATTCACGATCTGTTTGGAAAAGAGGCTGGTAGGAGGGGAATAACTTGGGAAAGGTAAGGGAGGGCAAGGACGCCTAGAGCCTGCCCTCTCTCGCTGCCATTTGTTCTTCCAGGATCATTTCGGTTTTTAAAATTTTTTTTTTTAACGTTTATTAATTTTGAGACAGAGAAAGACAGAGCGTGAATAGGGGAGGCACAGAGAGAGAGAGGTAGACGCAGAATCTGAAACAGGTTCCAGGCTGGGCTGTCAGCACAGAGCCCGACGCAGGGCTCGAACCCACGGCCGAAGTTGGACGCTCAACCGACTGAACCACCCAGGCGCCCCAGGATCATTTCAGTTTTAACAAGGCCTTTTCCTACCCCATCCCATTTTCCTCAAAGGTCCAACACTACTCCATTTACACTTCCGTACAATCTTTTTACATGTGTGTGCAGAAGTTTTGTTTTCCTCACTCCATTTCTATACCTCCAGTTCCTTAAAAGCTTGGTCATTTTTTTTATTATGTCCCACGCCCAACATGGGGCTTGAACTCACAACCCTGAGATCAAGAGCCGCATGCTCTATGCATTGAGCCAGCCAGGTGCCCGGAAGCTTGGCTATATTTTGAGGGAAAACGTGTGTATCTTCTGACGTAAGCCTGTGTTTTGGGGGTCAGAATGAAAAAAATATTGAAGGCGTTATTTGGACGTCAGTACGGAGATTTATTTTTATTTTTTGAGTTGGTGCCAACCGTATACAACGAAGACATTTTCAGACCATCTTTATATATTAAGTCCTTGAAGAACCATTTTTATTCATTTGAAAAGCAAATCACTTACTTTAAAAATTGATTTCACCTTTCATCGTTTCACTGGAGAATTCCTTAAAAAAATTTCTGCCTTGCAAGAGAACCTCCCCCCACTCCCCTATTCTTCAGGCTCCATCATTCATCATAGAGAAGAGTAAATTCAAGTGGCAAATCCATGCTGCCTCCACATATCTTTTTTACACAACATTTCTGCTTTTGTAAAATTCTTACCTTGTTAGCTCCTCACAATCTGTACTTCGTCATCCTTTGACCCTCCCACCATATTTACTCCTCCCACAGGACCCCAGTCTTCAGCAGTAAAACGAGAGTTTTCTCCGAAGCAGTTACTTAATTAACGGCGTTGAGTACACACGGTGGAGCTCCGCCCCATAGGAGGAGCTATCACAGGCGGACCGAGTTAGTCGGTCTGTCTTTCACAAACGATCCCTTAATCTTTTCAGGGGAGCGAAACACACACAAAGGCCCAATCAGAAGCCGCGGCTCGAGGAGCTCGGGGGGCGGGGCTGGGCAAGCGCCCTCCCACCTCCCAGCCTCCCGCCGAGGCCGTCGGAGCCTCGCGGGCTTGGGCAGGCCCCGCCCCCCGGCCAGGCGCTGCGGCTATTGGGCGGCGCCTTCCTCGTTGTCGCCTCAGTTGCTGGGAGAGGGAGGGCGGGGGCGGGGCCTGAGATGGGCCAGGGGCCCAGAGAGAAAGGCGGGGAGACGAGGGCGGGCTGGGCGGTTTCGACGAGCGCCGCGGCGGTTGGCGAAGCGGACGGGGCGCAGCCTTCCCGGTGCGAGGAACGGTTCCCGCTGACAGATCCCCTTCTTCCGGCCGCGCCACCCGGGAGGCGGATCCCCGGGGCCTGAGGAGCCTTTCTCGGCCCGGCCCGCTCTCCCTCCCTCTCCCGCGGGTCACCCGAACGGCCTGTGAGGAGGAGGAGGAGGAGGTCGTCGGGGGCGGCGGCCGGCGGAGACCGCGCTCCCCCTTCCCCGGCAGCGGCGGCGGCGGCGGGGGCAGGACAATGGAGGTGGCTGTGGAGAAGGCGGCGACGGCGGCCGCGGCGGCTTCGGCGGCGGCCGCCGGGGGGCCCTCGGCGGCACCAAGCGGGGAGAATGAGGCCGAGAGTCGGCAGGGCCCCGACTCGGAGCGCGGAGGCGAGGCGGCCCGGCTCAACCTGTTGGACACTTGCGCCGTGTGCCACCAGAACATCCAGAGCCGGGCGCCCAAGCTGCTGCCCTGCCTGCACTCCTTCTGCCAGCGCTGCCTACCCGCGCCCCAGCGCTACCTCATGCTGCCCGCGCCCATGCTGGGCTCGGCCGAGACCCCGCCGCCCGTCCCCGCCCCCGGCTCGCCGGTCAGCGGCTCCTCGCCGTTCGCCACCCAAGGTGAGAGCTGGCCGTGGACGCCGGGGAGCCCGGGGAGGGGCTCCGGGAGGCGAGCGCCCTTGTGCGGCGCGACCCGCTGTCATGTCGCCGCCGCCCGGGGTGCGCGGCGGGGGAGGGGCGAGGAGGAGGGTCTGTGTTGGCGGCGGTGACATGGAGGGCCCGCGCGCTCTGCGGCGTGCCGCGCGCCCCGCGAGCAACTTCCACGGGCGCTGAGGACTTGGCGGCGCCGCCGCTGCTCCTCCTGCTGCTCAGCATTCTCCTCCAGGGTTGGGTGGCCCGTGCGACCCGCACTTTTGAAAACCTCCGTTGGAGTCGGCTGTAGCGTGTATCTCGGATTCTTTGCCGACTGCATCTAGTTAACTGCTACCCTCTGCCTCCCCGGAGCTTTGTCCGGGTCCATATGATCCTAATCATCTCGTATATACCCACGTTATTTGAGCTGGAGGGGGGAAGGGAGGGATGAAGATGAAGTGATGGGGACTTTCTCCGGTGATTGATTACAGATCGGATGCCGTCTATTTTCTATCTTGCATGTTTCAGGTTCTTTACCTTAACGAGTCCCCGATTTTCTACCTTCAGCTAGGGACAAAGGAACCCAAAGAGACGGTATTTTGTTGTCTTTCTCATTCGAAGATTTTATTTTGAGACGGTGAAGGGTAAGGAGAAATAGAACAGAGTGATTTGGGGTGCAGAATTTTCTCGTATTTTGTAGACAGCAGCTGGAAATTTTGAAGTTACTGTTCTCTTTGTGGTGTTTGTTACTGTATAATGAGACTTTTGACAGGTAGTTCCTATTGCTAGCGTTAACAGGTTTGAAACATTTAAAGTTAGTTAAAGTAAGCATAGTAATCATTTCTAGTGGAATGCTTGAGGATTTTAAATTTTAATATTGCAAATATTGGAGCATCTTCTTTTTAAAAATAGAAAGTAACTGGAAAAGGGGAGTCATTCCTTTTTAATACATACTTCCTTTTTAGAGGCTCTAGTTGATTTAATTTGAGATAAATCGGTGATTAGGTAATTGACCCGGTCAAGGGGCATATGAAATTGATGCCATAAATAGATTGTAGTGTTAGACTTCTCATTCGAGTATATGTTAGGAACAGTATCCAGTTGAGGGAGACAATTTTCCACGGGTCTCTAAGTTTCTGCAGGTCTTGCCAGGAAGGTACTGGCTGCCCTTTGTTTCTGTTTTTTAAAAGATGTTTGTATAAGGAACAGCCTTGGAAGATAGAGATAGTGTCTTCCATCAGAGCAAAGAGCAGGCATGCGTATGGTCCAGTATAATAAATGTCTACTGGGGTAAAAGGCAGGCGTGCTTATTGCCTGTGATAAAAGACTGGTGTTCTCTAAGCTTAGGTTTCCTCTTGTGTAACACAACCCATTGCCTGTGCAGGTGTCAGCTGGCCATTTTCGCCTTGCCTGGTGGGAACTGGGGTTCTGGGAACCAGTGCAAAAGTGTTGGTGCTTTGCTTTATGTTATTGTAACTAACAAACTGCCCCTTATCTCTCACTTCTGAGTCTTTGTGTCTTCCACCCTGGTACGCTAGCTTGCAAAAGTCTGAGATCTTTCACACTTGTTTTCTCTGATGTGGCTCACCTGTTGGAAATTTAGTACAGGTGAAACTTAAGTCTTAGTTTTTAGATACATTTTATAGTTTCTTTTATTTATATTTTAAGCGGTTAAACAGGCTAGTAGTCAGGATCTGAATTTTGCATAATTCTAGAATTAAGATTTATCATGTGCTCGGCAGTGACATTTAGGTCAGAATGAATGAGAACATGGATAAGACAAGCTCTGAAAATCAACTCTGAGACAAATTTGCAATTCCAGATTTCTTAAAATGTTCTTTTTAATTCTAATCTCTAAATATATTTTATCTTGGTGTTTGTAAGCAATAGTTCAAGAAAGCATTTAAGATTGGAAGGTAATGTTTCTGTTTTTATACCAAGAAAGAAAAAGTCTCTATCAAATGACACTTTTAAATACACTCTAAAAAAAAAGGGTTATCTTCAGTAAATTAAAAATACTATCTATCCTGAATCTTAATGACTTATGTTCTCCCTTTCTTTCTCATTGCAAACTTATTTTAATACTAGCTGAAGTAAAACTTTAGCCAGTACGTTTCATAACTAAATAATTAGGGTTCATTTGATCATCTCTGTTTTTCATTCTCTTAATGAACGTGTCGGTACAGTCTTGAGGGTCAAACTGTCATACCTACAGGAGCTAAGCCAGGTATCTGGGTAAAATAATAGGGAATGGTGGAGAGTGAACGAGAAGGCGAACAAACTCAGCCTCAGCAGATGGTCATGTAAGGGAGGGTAGGGCCAGTATTGAAGGGCATTTATGTATATATTTTAATGAGAAGTCTGAAGCCTGGATTTTTGTGTAACCTTTCGCTAGTATTAGATATTGGCAAGTGAATAAAATATATATATATTGCACACAAGCCCATTGTGTAGGCCAAATAAAACAAGTTTTGTTGAGGCCACAATTATGTTGCAGTTAAACTCTTCCCTTTTAGATTTAGATAGTGGTTTTCAAATTTTAGCGCTACTAGAATCGCTGAGTAAAATTTTATTTTTTTACTTTTTTAAATAAAATTTTAAATGTTTTATTTATTTTTGAGAGAATGCAGGTGGGGAAGGGGCAGAAAGAGGGGTGGAGGATCTGAAGCGCCAACAGCATCTAGCCTTAATGTGTGGCTTGAACTCATGAACCACAAGATCATGATGTAGGCCAAAGTTGGAAGGTCAACCCACTGAGCCACCCAGGCGCCCCTCACTGGTTAAAAATTTACATTAAAAATTTAGATTTCTAGGGGCGCCTGGGTGGCTCAGTTGGTTAAGCGTCCGACTTCAGCCAGGTCACGATCTCGCGGTCTGTGAGTTCGAGCCCTGCGTCGGGCTCTGGGCTGATGGCTGAGCCTAGAGCCTGCTTCCGGTTCTGTGTCTCCCTCTCTCTCTGCCCCTCCCCCGTTCATGCTCTGTCTCTCTCTGTCTCAAAAATAAATAAACGTTAAAAAAAATAAAATAAAAAATAAAAATTTAGATTTCTAGGCCCATCCCCCCAGAGTGCCCAATTTGGCATAGTTTTAGAATTCTAGAGTATAATATTAAACCCTAGTGCTTCTTTAGCTCAAGCAGTATTATATTCTGAAATAAAATTGATCATAAGAGGATTCTTAAGGAAGTTAAGACTAAAGTTCAAGGTATAGAGTGATAGGTTTCAACATTATCAGACCTAATTTTTCTATTAAATACTTTTTGGTGCTCCCCGTTATCCTAAATGAGATTCATGGAAAATAAATCCTAAGATATTTTTTATGAAAAAGAAATAAAGCTAATTTATAACAACAAAGTATTATAATTTATAAATGTTCAGACACAATTAAACTAGCTACCAAGCCGCCGTTGAGAACATGGGTCAAAACTGTCCTTTTGTAAGGCTGCCAGTTGGAAGGAATGAGGATGAGTGGCCACATGCTAAAGTTGGATGACTACCTCAGGTGTGACTGTCATTTTCTTAGTGTGCAGTTATATCCAGGAAAGAGGGAAGGGCTTAGAAAACAGTTTTTCTTTAGGTACATTACAGGTACATGAAGTCAGAAGACAAACTAATCCTGGAGAGATGTTACAACATGGTGTAATATTTTGTGGTGGTGATGTAGTCAGCAAGCATAGCAAACTCTAAGCTATTTTTACAAGAATACTGAGCATACTTTTGAAAGGGATCACATTATTTGACCAAGGAGAGTAAAATAAAAGAATCCATCAGTTTTCCTAGACTTCTTTTCTAATAGGTGGTCTAAGAGATACATAACTGTCAATTCTGGGATCTGGTTTCTTTGAGTTCTTGGTGAGAGAAGTATAAATCACCTTGTGAGTACAAGACACAATGACAAAGAATTAATAGTATTTAGCACTGATCCATATTGTCCACTAGTTTTATTATACAATATTATATTCAATATTCACCTATTAATAGAAATTATACTATTGGTTTCAATTTGGGGCTATTATGAATAAAATTGTTATAAATATCTGTAGACAAGTCTTTATGTGGATATGTTTTCATTTCCTTGGGTAAATACTTATAATTGGAATTTCTTGTTTGCATCATAAACGTATATTTACACTGGTTGTACTGTTTTGCATTCCCTCCAGCAACGTATAAGAGTTCCAGTTGGTTCACATCGTTGCCAATTTGAGTGTTGTTAGTCTTTAATTTTAGTCATTTTAGTATGTGTGAAGGGTTGTCTCATGGTTTTAATTTTCATTTCCCCAATGAATAATGATGAGCATCTTTCCTATGCTTATTGATTATTACAACTTTTTGGTAAAATTTCAGTTTGTCTTTTGCAGATTTTTAAAATTAGGTAATTGGATATATTATTGAAAAGTATATATTCTTTTTTTAATGTTTATTTTTTCCTGGAGGGGAATGTGGGGGGAGGTTGGGGTGATGGATAGAGAGGAGGGGAGAGATGTTCTCAAGCAGGCTCTATGCTCAGCACTGAGCCCAATGCAAGGCTTGATCTCATGACCCAGAGATCATGACCTGAGCCAAAATCAAGAGTCAAACACTTAACTGACTGAGCCACTCAGGTGCCCCAGAAAACTATTCTTTATATATATTCTGTATCCTGGTCCTTTGTTAAATATGTGTATTGCACGTATTTTCTTTCACACCTATAGCTTGCCTGTTCATTTTCTTAATGGTATTTTTTGAAGAGCTGAAGTTTGAAATTTTGATTTAAGTATGATTTATCAATTTTTTTTATGATTAGTGATTTTTGTGTTCTAATACTTCTGTGCCTACCCTAAATTTACTAAGATTTTATACCGTCTTTTGGTAGTTTTAGTTTTTATATTTAGAGCTATAATCTATTTTGAGCAATTTTTGTATGAGGTAAGGGTTGAGGTTCATGTTTTCAACCATATGTTAAAGCACCATTTACTGAAAAGAGTCCTTTTCCCATTATGTCACTTGGGCA